ATTTTATAATATAAACTATTCCATTTTATTTATATGTTATGACTGAATATTGGCCCCGTGAAGACGTTTAATTTGAGGTGCCACATGCTAATTTTTTTGGTAAAAAAATAATTGGTAAATTTACAGAGCTTAAATCTCTAAAAATGTTATTGATATTTATAGAATAAAAAACTCAACAATTGGAAACTCAAAATGTCCCTAAACTGCAGCTCAAAATAAGTCAAAATATTTAAAAAATTAAACATGGTATATAGAAAATGCTAATATAAATATTCAGAAAAATTTCATGTATCTGAGGTCATTTGTTTTAAAGTTACACCAAAAACCAAAATCAATTTACCAAAAAATTGATTTTGCGTAAAAATTCCCATTCTTCCTTAACTGTTCTTTTGTTTTTCACGGCGCTTTTGAAAACTACTGGTAAAATTTTACTTTTGACCCCCCCAAATGTACTAACTAGATTTACTTTCCCATCGAACAAGATACTGTTGGAGAAAATCGAGGCAGTTTTTACTACCCCAAACTGTGATGAACTGATGACAGACACAAAAAACAAATAATAAAAAGTGGATGTCGCTCTGCTGTACAGTAGGTTACAAGTGGGTCACTGTATAATGGATGCTATTAAATTTGAATTCAATGATACAATATCATTGTATAAGAAAAACGATTCTGAGCGAAGACGGTATGTCAGTCTAGGTTTAAGACATATTATATATATATCTATGGTATTAAATTATATGGAATTTATGAATAAATTCCTTAAAATATGCACAGTCTTATCATGAGCATACTTCTTATATTCCTTATACTATGGTAGATTGTATGGATAGGCCATAATATTTTGATTTTTCAGTTTCATATATCCCCGAATAATATTTTTAAATTGCAACAATAACAAAGATCGTTAATATTGATTTTAATATGTAATTTCGTCCAAATTTGAATTTAAAATGTCTGTAAAAAATAACTGTGTTCATATATTTTTTAGATTTTTGGGTTCAAAAATTCTGTCAAAATTCGATGTTTAAATGCTTATAAAAAAAAATTGTGCCTATGTATTTTTAATATTTTTCAACTGATATTGTAACAATATACCAGGAGCCTTGTATTAAATTTTTACACTTTTTGGCCCAACAGATAAAACTTTATTGATATTCATAGAAAAAAAAACTAAAAAAATTGAAAAATCAAAATATCCGTAAACAGCTCAAAAAGAGTCAAAATATTTTCAAAATTGTATGGTGTATAGGAAATGCTAATATAAACATTCAGTGAAATTTTCATGTATCTATAGTTATTCGTTTATGAATAACAACAAAATAAGGAAATCGCTACATGAGAAATCGAGTGAACATCCAATGTTGTAAAAATTTGAATTTCAAACGCTCATAAAAATTTAATTTGACTGTCCCGTAAAGATTTTTTTATTGATAAAGGTAGTCAAACTTATGAGTAATCTTGTATTACATTTTCAAATCTTAGATTTAAAAAGAAAAATTTTTACGAATTCTTAACTCAAAATAATTTGCTAATTTTCGTGATTTTTCCATATTTTGTCAATTTTTGAACTTTAAATGCTTATAAAAAAAAACTGTGACTAACGATTTTTAATATTTTTCATCTGCCTTTGAAACAATATACTAGGAGCCTTCTATTAAATTTTTAAGTTTTTTTAACCAACAAATAAAATTTTATTGATATTTCTAGAAAAAAACCTAAAAAAAAATGAAAAATGAAAATGTCCCTAAACTGTTCAAAATAAATCAAAATATTTTGAAAATGTTATGGTGTATAGAAAATGCAAATATAAACAACCAGTGAAAATGTCATGTATCTACGGTCATTTGTTTTAAAGTTACACCAAAAACCAAATTCAATTTTCTGAAAAATCGATTTTGTGTAAAAATTCCCGTTTTTCCTTAATTTTTCTTTTGTTTTTCTTGGCGCTTTTGAAAAGTACTGGGAATTTTTAATTTTGACCTCCCCAATGCACCAACGATATTCACTTTCCAATCGAACAAGATACTGAAGTCAAAAATCGAAGCATTATTTCGACTACTTATCGTGTACACAGACACAAAAAAAAATAAAAAAAAAAATATAAAAACACACATCATTGTAAAATCAATACATTCATCGTTTCACTCAGAATCTAAAAAAATACACACATCATTGTAAAATCAATACATTCATCGATCTGCTAAAAATCTAAAACTTCCTGTGTTTTATATTTTTTGTTAAATACACAATTTATAGATTAATTTTTAAACGTTAGTACTTAGTACCTATAGTATTGCTATATGTGAAGAAGTGCAACGATTCATTCAACCAGCACAAATGTTCAAAAAATAAAATGTTAAAATAAGTAGTATGTTCATGTTTGAGTATAAATTATTATTACTATTTATTTCACATTTTAATTTGTGTTGTATTATTATTATGAAAAAGTGGAGTACCTATATAATAGGCAGTATGTTTCCAATTACAATTTATTGAATACCTACTATAAAACGTACATAGGTGTATTGTTTATTCTTTTTGCCATTAGGAATTATTCAAATACTTTAAAAGGTTTATAAAATCTAAATTATTTATTATTTCTAACTAAAAACTTTAATTGTTTATACTATCAATTGGTAGGTAATAGGTACCTATGTGTTATTCATTAATTTGTTCATGAAAATTACAAGGAGTAGAATAGGCAACTACTTAAATATTTCTAGGGGCAATGATAAGAAATAAATCGGCAGTTTCTATATGCCATTGTCCTGTATTTCATATAATATAATATTTGTGCTTGTAACTCAGGGGTGGAATGGCATATCTAGAATTTTAACAACTACAGGCAACTGGCAAGCCGCTCCTTGTGAATTCCACTTTTTAAATATTTTAAGACAAAAAAATTGTACTTTCTTTTAACCAAAGATGATAATATATTATGCATACAATGAATTCATTTGAAAATGCACTGAATAAACTAGCATAGTAAATTATAATACTGTGATAGTTGGATGCCCGGTCCCCGGTGATGGATAAAGTATTGGTGATGACATGGAACTCGATACAAGCCGTATTTAAGGAGTTCAATATAGGCAATTTTCTTAGTGCATGTGCCCTGTCGTGTAAATGTGTGAGTAGTAGGTACCTACCTAGCGATTGATCTAAAAGTGGGTGTTGCCGTAACGTTGTGTGTGTAAATGAAATGGATAATGTAAAAGGAATAGATATCGATAAAAAATATCGTTACTAGTTAGATTTCATTTATTATTTCAGTATACCGTACCATATCGGTATTTAGGTATACCGAAACAGTTCGGTTTTTCGGTACCTATACCGTTTCAAACTGGTATTGAAATCAATACCGTAATACCGAAAATTATTTTCAATACCGTCAGCACTACTAGTACATAATGCAGTATGTACCATCATTGGTAATGAATACTAATTATACATAACCAATGGTACTATGTAGTATGTGCACTACTAAAGTTACCTACTTATTATACAATTTATATAAGTTATAATCATGATGTAGAGAAGTTAATATTATCTAGAATTCGTGGCAAAATAGATATCTAAATATTACTTATAGATCCTATACACCGTGATACCATTAGATATATTTGATGGTAACAACTTGGTTATAAGTAGCTAAAATACTAGGGAGCCTAGATAATATTATATTATAATACAAATACCTCTTCTAATTTTCTAAATAGTTATTCTGAATACTTTTGGGAAAAGTATTTAAAAAATCTCAAGACTGGACTATTATAGCAAATAGTAAATACTATAGATTAGATTTGACTATAGCTACAGCATAGACAAGTATTCCTAGGGCACTACAAATACTAGGTATGCTACGCCGCCATTTTGCGACTAATAATGTTAGGTGAATATGAATTTTTCCCCCTTTATTTTATCATTGATAAATGAGTCGCAAAATGGTGGCATAGAATACCCCATAGATAAATGCCCCTATTATCTATGGCATACCCATTATATGTAGAGGCGTAGAGCCCTATTCCAAGCATAGACCTGATTATCAGGTCTATGATTCCAAGCCTACTGTACTGAAGTACTGTTGTAGTAATCACTAGTACTGTTCACTGGTCAGTAGTTCAATTATGGCTCTTTAAGAACAGGTAAAGACAGCCGCCATTTTCTTTCCAATTGGAATTAATACAAAATTAATATAAATTATACAAATATTTATCAAAACAAGTACGTCTATGAAAAATCGTTAATAATCGTTCAAATATATATTTTCCTACCATTATTCATTAATTACCAAAATTCAATTTCACAAAACAAATTTAATAAATACATGACTAGCTATTATCATTTATCAGCTATGGAAATAAAATGGCCCATGTCTTTAGTTTAAATGTCCTTCGTATATATTAGTTTAGTATGTACTTCAGTAGTTCACTAGTTCGGACGTTCGGTATTCTTTTATTTACGTTCCCGCACTCCCGCACGCAAACTGTCCCACGTCCGACAAAGCAACTATATAAGCAAGTAAGTTGTCTGATGCGTCATGTAGAGGTTCCGTCGTTTTATTTACGCGTCGCCAACATTTTGCCGTTACAACAGCGTCGTTTGTCGAACAACTGTAGCAGTACAATCACGTGACCTGTGTTTTCGTGGTAGAGGGGAGTGGGAACGGTCGACTGCCATAGTGCCTTGCACGGCGAACAGCACCCCGACGCGCCAACGCTGTCTATTGTTTGATAGTGTAATACTGGAATATTGGATGTCTGTACGGTTAGGAAAAAAAAAATATAACGCAATTCTGGAAAAGCATGGACTTCCCGTGAAGTCATCGAAAGGCATCGTTCTAACAAGTCACCGCTAATGTGCGTTCAGTGTTCTTAGTGTGAGAGAGAGCGCGTTTTCGGTTTCTGTCGAGAGCAAACGTTCCCACTGGCTCGGGTAACCGCGCACCGTGTGCGTGAGCGTCGTGAGTGATTCCGTTGCTGACCGCGTACGGCAACATGTCCGCCCTGAAACAAGTGATGCAGGTCATCGGCTCGCATCACATTTCCAATGAGCTGCTGGAATCAGATTGCGACAAGTCCGGCGGTCTGATTTCCAACGGCGAGTACGCGTGGTTTGCCGCCGGGGCTAACCTCATACTTTATTCGAAACAGCTCGGGTCAGTTTTGTCGTCCCGGTCATTTGCCACCAATCAAAAGGACAAATCGTTGACGGTAAGTCGCGCAACCACGTCGGTCTTGCTCAAGACGACTGGGTAAATGGGTACCTACTACTTATAGGTACTCTGTCCAGCGAGAGTACACTCCATGCGAAATCGGTTATTCTGCCCATCCTCACTCGAGTAAATGGGAGTAGCCCTGTGGAACCAGTCTCAACGGCGGGGCTACGTAGAATTGGCGTGTTCTCTCGCTAGACAAGGTACATGAAAAATCGTCAGTCGAAACAGGTGTAAATATAAAAAAACTCACTGGAATATTGAACCAAATCAATGATATTGTCCAAACATCCCGGTGCGTTTTTTTTCACACCGGTTTAGGCTAATAAATTTTGATACTATCCGCTCACGCTAAATCGACTTTGTTCCGGTTCGATAAATACCGGAATAAATAGGTAGGTGTGCTTAATAAATACCTAGGACGTAAGTGACTAATCAATTTTGGAGGGAAATGATAGTAAGATCTAAAACAATTCCTAGGTTAGGTTAGGTATACCTATGTAAAATATCTAGGGAACAAATTCTGGACTCAATTATAGTTTAAAGTGTACTAATTAATCAATTATTGCAGCTTATTGTTTTTTAATATTTTTTTTAAACATTTGTTTATTGTAGGTAATTTATATTAAAAATGTATTACTTATGAAATTAAATCACCTACCCAATTGATTTCGATAATTATCGGTTCAAAACTAAATATTATATACCTACTTATTTATTTATTTCCAATTAAAATTTAAAGAATAAACCAAATAATAAATAAAGAACTTAAGTAAATAATATTATGATTGTAGGTACAATAGGTATGACCGCCGTTATATTATCTTCCGAAATCAAAATTTATTAAATGATTAGGCATTAAATTCATTATATCTATTTTATAAATAATTTATTTGAAGCTTGGATGATATTAATTATTAATTTTACATATTGTTAGGACATTATTATTATTTATTTTTATCTAGGGACCTATAACATTTAATAATAAAATTCACAAAAATAACAGGGCTACCTACCACTAAGTCACTTTTTCAACTAAAAGTCACTTTTAGTCACTTTTTTGAAATATGATTGACAGTATTTTTTTATATAAATCCATCTTTTTTTTGTATCAGAAATCTCTATAGGTAGTTACTGTAAAATAATACTAGATACTATTGTTTTTTTTTATTTCAGATTACCTTTGTTCAAGAATTACATAAAAGGGAAAATTCACACTTTCTGTTAGTCGGATGTTCATGTAAATCTTTTGGTTTATTGTTTATTTGTCAATTGCCAACACTAACGACCATTCGTTGTATTCATATACCAAATCCAGTATGCTAATTTTAAATTTATTAAATTATCTTAAGAGGACCCACTACCCACATGTGTTGTATCAAACTTACAAACAGACTATTCATGGCAAATTGTTTGTAAGAATCTTTAATAAATAATTCAGTTGACCTATTTATGGGACAGAAAATAAGGGTTGTGAAGTCCTCTTAACTAATATTTTACTAAATAAAAAAGATCAATTTTAACAAATATATTAATTAATTCAGATATCCTACATTTCTACAATAAATAATGAATCACTTGCGCAAGATCAACTTTGTGATGAATTTAAAGTTATGTCCACTGTACTCTTAGTTGGAATGATAACTGGAGCAGTTTTTGCAGTTGACTTAAGACATCGTTACATTGAAAACCGTACGTTGACCAAATATGGTACCATAAACATAAAAATAAAATTCTTTTTTTCCCATAGAATTACGAAGAAATGAGATAGTTGTAAATGAATCTAGACCAAGCAAACTATTTACAATGAGGAAAAATGAGGATTGCCAAGAAGTTAAAGAGATGGGTGATGATGGTGATTGTCATTTAGCAATGTTTATAAATGGTAAAATAAAATTAAAGCAATTTATTCATAATTTATTAATCATCATATTTTATCATAGAAAACTTCTGTATTTATTGTAAAAAACAATACCGTGGCAAACTAAACTTCAGCATATCTAGTTTGTTGTATAACGAAGAAATCAATACGGTTGCCATTGGATATTCTACAGGTCACTTTCAACTATGGGACTGTAAAGTAATGCGAACAATGTAAGTATTTGGTCACTCTTTAATAATAATAAGTCTTTATATAATCATAAATCTTACAAAGTAAAGTGTCTGTAAATACTGGATTTGTTTTATTATAATTTTCTAACTCAAATTATTTTTATTATTTCATTTAGATATTTGTTAAAAGATCCTAAATGTGTTATGCCAGTAACCCATATTACTTTTCTTGAACCATCTGATGATCCAAACAATCTATGTTATCTTTGGGTTATTCAATCAGATAATTCTAGACTTCCAAATGCAATGATGATTGCTTTAACTTATGAACAGAGAACTATGATGTCAAATGGCTGTTTGTCATATAGAGTGAGTTAAATTGTACAAATTCATATTTAAAATAATTATTTTTATGATATATTGTGTTTGTACCAAGGTTTATAAAGGAAATGGTATAAAATTAGAAATGTCATTGAGAAGAGAATCTGGAATTGGTCGATGTATATCTGCATTAACTTTATGTAATGTGAACTTGTTCAGAAATGAAACTGGTAATTTAACACTTTATATTTAATTAATGTTGATCATCTAATTTAAGCTATATGCTAAATGCTAAATATGTATTTGCAAAATATAATAATTTTAAATAATGAGTTTTTTTTACATTGCTTAGATATGGATGAAGATTGTGAAATTAGATTATTTGCAATGTTAATGGAAGTTCGTCAAAATGTTGATGCTAACCCTGAATCTTACGTTTTTTTGTTTGATATTAACCAGTGGTATAAAGCCCAGATGCCATCAAATATAAATCACCTTAAAGTATCAAATTCTTACGCTAGTTTTGTAAAATTGCCTCATAATGTCAGTTATTTAGATTTAAATATTTCTGACAAAACATTGCGCCCATTCGGTTACAATTTTAGAAATAATGTTGAAGAACTCTATTATCCATCTTCAATATATTTTGGTAATATTACAGGAATTAATCATTGCCATTTGTTTTCTAATATACAATTTTAAATTTTTATTCCAGAATGCGATTGTTTATTAGACACTGAAATTATTAGATTTAAACACGCTGGTGTTCAACAAGAAATTTTGGATCAATTGCTTTTAAAAAATTGGAGGTTGTTAATAAACCCAAGTTTAATATTCAGCCAATGTTTACAAACAAATTTAAGACCTTTCTTTTGGGATAAAACAGATGATTACGTAAATTACAGTTTGGTAAGAAATAAAAATATATTTCATTAATTTTGTTCATTTAAAATAATTATTTTTATATATACTTATATTATAATCTTATAAGAATTGATGATTAATTATTTTTTTTCAGCCTGATCAAAGAAGTTTTGTAATATCAATTATAGTTGAAAACAAAATTATGTCAGTTCTTAGTGCATGTGCTGAAGAATGGAAAAATGGAACATATGTATCTAGTGAAGCAACAATTTTACATTTAGTTCAATGTCTTTGGAAGCACGTCATGGTTGTTAAACAATATGCAGACAAATTATGTAAATATCTAATATGTTATATATGATTGTTTTTATCACTTTTAATACAAATCCGGTTTAGGTGTCCCTTTATTTGACTATTCTGGTACGCAGTTGGGTAAAAAAGATGAAAGGATATTAAATCATTGCTTATCTCAAATGCTGTGTGTTAAACATTTCCTAGAAGATTTGCATAATGCATATGGTATTCATATAATAAATGGTAAATATAATTGAACAGAGAATGTATTATTCTTCATATATAATTATTAGTATTTATACCTGATTTCATATTTTTATTTTTAAAGTAATAGTGTGTATCATTGGAAATAAATTTACTGACTCAAATATTTATTTTCTTATTTCAGTTGATTATTCTTATCGTGTGTATACACTAAATTTGGTTACTCAATATTTTAAAGCAGTGACATGTTTTCTTAACTATGGACTTTTACCAGAATCTAATGAAGAAGACCCTACTCAGAAAATTATAAAATGTGATTTTTCATCTCTTATTGAATATGCAATTAAACGGTTAGTAATTGAATCTTTAAAATTGTCAATTAAATTAAACAGACAATAATACATTTTTAGCCGAATGGAATTTGGAGATTTGTCATTATATCTTATTGACGCATTTGTGTCTAATGAACCTAAAGGCAATAAATTAATTGAACAATGGCAACATGAAGGTGGTGAAGCAACTAAAGGCTTGTATCCTCCGTCTAATGTTCAATGCCTATTAAGGATTTATTTGAATGCTGCACTTTCTAACCAAGTCAAGGATTTTATTACAATTTATTTTTTGATTGACGTCTGTTCTTCGCATGAGTTAGTTTTAATATTTATTGGTTAAAAATATAATTTCTGAAATTATGTATGATTTTACATGACCTATTTTAGGATTGATGTAATTACGGCAAATCGTATGTGTAATTTTGCTGTTGAATTTGATGTTGAGAATAAAGGATTGAATACACTTTGTCGTGCTAGCTGGTTATTAGATCATGACATGTTTGAAGTAAATATTATTCACACTTTTATAATATTATTTTCGCATTTGATTTTATTTGCATGTAATATTTATTTTTTTTTATACTCATAGGAAGCTATGGATATCTTAGCAAGTAGTCATGAATGGCTGGTTAATGATAAATCTTGGGATTGGTATCACTGGACTGTCTTGAAATTACTTGTATATAAAGAACAATATTTTTGGGCACGGTTTTACATGCAACTCACTAAAATCAGTTTAGTTAACATTGATGATCACAAGTAAGAGATATTGTGGTATAGTTGCATTTATATATAATATATAATATTAATATATCAAGTTCATAAAAATGTGGTTAGTTTCCCATACTTGAGATTCTATAATTGTTACATTTGTTATCTAATTATATAATTTATGCATTACTTGAGACTACCTATATGTTGCTTATTTAATAATTATTTTATCAACACATATTTATAAACTTAATTCTTCTAAATATTTACTTCCATAGGTGAAACTTATACTAATATACTTATATAACTAATAAAAATAACTAATTACAAATAAGTTTGTATTTAACTTTTATTAAGTCAGTATACTGACTGTCTTGACCCATAGTTTCGCTTATGTTTACTTCTATTTAAATTGTGTACAAGTATATAAACCTATTACAATAAAAGTTAAATTTATACTTTTTAGAACCTTTCTAATGTTTGGAGATCTAATAGTTTATGTTAATAATTTTGCTACAGTTGTGATATTTCATGCAATATAAACTAAAATGAGAAAGAAATGTACACAAAACTATGACTTAGGCTTGTGCTACTATATAATGAGGGCATGCAATCTCAGTTATAGCAGTGGTAAATGTAATGCATATATGCACTGTACGATGTTGTACAATTTTACTATGTAGGCCATATAGATAGACAACCAGTATTTATGACATGGGAATGAACATTATGACATTTTGAGTGTATCTTTTTATGTATTTTTTTACTTTTTGCTTTATCTTTAAGACCTTTTACATCTATTAAGCACTTGCGTTTATTATGGTCAGCTGCAGTCTCATGATTTGGTACCCTATTTACCATTCTTATGTCTGCATTTACTCTATCTTGCCACCATTACCGAGGTCTTTCCCCAAGGTATTTGTTAGTTGGTTTATTTATCTTTCAAAATATGCTTATTAATTATATAACAAATAAAATTAATGATAAAACCTCTTACTGGAGCGAGTTCTCTGTATAAAAGCAGTCTGTCTTTAATACACATTCTTATTTTGTTTGTTAATATAAGAGTAGTCAATTAATTTTTATATTATCTATGGTGTAGTCGCGTCACTATATAAACACAATTTTAAGGCATAACATACTTGATATAACATTAAAAATTGACCACCATGGGATCTCCAGTTGGGGAATATGGAATATATAAGGGATCCCCTAATAAATATATAAAACCTATTAACTGCAACAGCAATTTATAAATTCTTGATATGTTTGAATTTAAAAGAGTACAATAAGTATAGTATCAGTTAGTTACATTTGTATTTTTTTTATTTCAGGTTTTATGTTAACTTGCAAATCATGAACAACCAATGTTTTGATACTTTAGTTTATTTACGAGCAAGACCCTTTAAAGAAAAACAAACTTTGTTTGAATATTTCTTTGACCGTATGTTTTCTCTGCATAAATTGATTAAAACCCTATTTATAATGTTTTTTTTATTTATTATTAGGATGTAGAGAAACAAACAAATTAAAATGTTTGATAGATTATCTCTGGGATGTGGATGAAACAGAATTATTTTTTTCTTATTTGAAAAAGTTTGATGATACTGAAACATTAACTTTTCAATTGTTATTTTTGTTACAGCGAGGAAGGTAAGTTAAATAATTAATTAAAAATTTATTTATTTTGTTTACTGAGGTTGAAAACAGCTTAAAATATTGTATTTAACTTAACATTATTATGAATTTTAATCATTTGCAATCACTTATTAAGCCTATTCTATGGTATTGTTAATTTTTTAATATTGAAAAATGTATTCAAATGTATTATATAATGATGCAGTATACTTTTCATGTTAATTATAAAAATGGCTGTGTACACTTAACTTAATTTACTAATTACTAATTGGTTTTATTTTTTTTTTTTAATATTATTGGTTTTCCTAAGCAATACATTTTTATCTAGATTTCCTCATTTCTATAAAATTTTTATAATTTAACATTGAAAAAGTCTAAAGAAATAACATGAGTAATAATTAATTCATAAATATCTTAGATAACAATTATTTTGCCCTGTGTAAAATATTTTTACGTTTTAGTCAGTATATAATATGGTTAGGCTATAGTAAACATAGCAGTATACACATAGCGATTAAAATATACAAAAAACGATACCAATACTAATACTATTAAATACTCATTAAAACAAACAGTATGAATTTAATTCAAATAATGTTTCAATTTAATGTTTTGTGATTAGTTGACAATTTGACCATTTAGATTGGTACTTTCCCATGGACTATTAAATTGTATTTAAAAAAATATAGAGTATTATTAATTATGTATAATGTACATTGTATACTGTATGGCAGTATAGCTAGATGTATATATGTAAAACAAACAGTAAATCTCCAATTACATTTTTTTTAGACATAAGGAAGCTATAAAACTAAATCAAACATTAAAAGCTAGCCTTAAGTCAAATAATAATGATGCACTGACAATTACTAGTCTTTTAGTTGATGGATTTGAAAAAAATATTCCTAATATTATGAAAAACGATTATGGCCGTCTTCCTCTTCAAAGTGTATATAAAAAACCAAGTTAGTTAATATGTATTCTAATACTATTGCAGAATATTGTTATTGTGTTTATACTACCTACTATAAATACTTTTGTTTAACTTGAATAATTGTTTTTAGATGTTGTTGTGAAATGTATGAACAATGAGAGTAAAATGTTTGTAATGGATAGGAATAAAGTAAATAATTTGGTAAAACGACGGAGTGCATCTTTTACGCCATCAAATTCAATGTAAACAATTATTTATTATTATTCTTTAAATTACTTGATAATTCTTACTATATTAATATAAATTTTTTTTTTTAGTGATCTTTTCTTACCAGCAAATAATAGCACAAGAAAGCGGTCACCTATAGATGATATGATTTGTAATGAAAAACGCAGAAAAATAGATGAAAATTTATTAAGTACTCCAAACGCCAATAAGGAAATTGTAAAACCAATTGAGAAACAAGTATTAGAAATACTCAATACTCCTTTAGTTGAAAAAACCATTGCATCACCATCTATTACAAGCTTCTCATCAATTTTAAAGGTACATATTTTAGAGTGATACATAATATACACAATTTTATACAATTATGTATGTTTTACGGAATTTCAGGTGTTTTACGTTAGGGAATATTGGCAATAGGTAGTGGATATATAGTATTTCATCGCAGTATGCTTTCAGGTGGAATTTTGTTGGATTTTAGATTAATATGCTTGTAATTCTATTAATTTTTGAAATAATTTTATGTGATAAAACATTTGAAAACCCAATACAAACCATACCTAAAAACAGCTAATAGGCGCATGACGATCGCGGCCTATTTTTTGGTTGGCCATACTATAAGCCTATTGTGTCTGTTCATTAACTTTGATTTTAATACCCCTTAAATAATTATAATAGTAATAATAATAATTATAATTATTCCAGCTTTTGGTGTTGTCCATTATCTTCTTAAAGAAATAAAAAGAATAAATTAGTTTACCTATTTAATAAGGATAAAGTTTTGTATAAGAATTTCATGTATTTCATTTTATCTAAAATAGTATATAAATAGTTATCAAATTTATAATATTATTAAAACAGGTGCCTAATGTATTCTTTCATTTTCAGTATTTATAATTATGTATTTGACCTACCTATATAATATATTTTTAAGGTTCTGTATTATTATTTAACACAATAAAATTGAGAAAAAATGAATAGTGAATCAATTAAAACTATTGATTTTTTTTAAAATGTTATTATGATTCTTAGTCCACTCTAAACATTTTTATATGGCCATATCTTGAAAAAAAGACAAGGTTTAAATTTAGATAAAAATATATTAATATTTATTATGATTTTAACATACAATTTGTTGTTATATTATTGAATTCATATTCAGATTTATTGATTATTATTAAATTAATTATGATTGCAGACAAAATTTGCAACAAACAAACAGAAAATATTGTTTAGTCTTGATAAGACTCCAAGGTCTTCAATAAGATTTAGTATACCTGCCAATGCTGACACTACAGTTGAAAGGTGCTTTAGATTTTTATCTGTATTTATTATTTACTAGTATCTTTATAATACTAATTATCTGTATACTACTCTATTCAACTTAAGAAACGCAGATGGCGGCCAACTTGTGCACCGGGGGTAGGCAATACTACTCCGTGGGGTTGATAAATGAGTGGTACCTGACTGCCGCTGGCAAAAACTGGTCGCCGCTATTCGAGTTTCTTAAGTTGAATAGTGCATATACTTATGAAAGAAATTAAATTACTAGAAAAATGTATACTAAATATTGTTTTGAAACATTGAGTAAATATTTTTACTTCCTTCGTGTTCACCATCATAAAAATCATTTATTTATTTGTATGGCATAAAAATCATTAAGAGCTTACGATAAACTGTGAACCCGGTCTTTACAATACTTGGTCCTTCTTTTATCATTAAATACTCATTATTTCAAAAACTACCTATAAATGTTTTTGAAAACATTTTTTTTTCATTGTTTCTAGTCATTGAAAAACAATTTTTTTGAAATATATATTTATTATCCTCGACATTCTTTAAGTTTTTACTTTTTTATGTGATAAAGTACAGTTTTAATTTAATATTCCAAAGCAAAATATTATACTAAGTACTTGGTTACATAATAATCGAATTTAGGACAAGTAGTTTGTGAGTTTTAAATATTTAAAGTTTAGACGAGCAGAGTGCGGTTACCATAAAAAGTGTTGGTCCACTACTGTACTCATCTAAACTTTGAATATTTTATTCATCCTAAATTCGATTTTTATATATCCTATATAAAATATATATGAAAAAACCATTTTGTTTTCGTTGATGAATTCAAAGAAGTTAAAAACTTAATATATTATAAGGATAAACCATGTAAGACAATTATTTTCAAAATATAAAGGGCTTAATAATACCGTTGTTTAAGAATAAGTATTGCTTAAGCTAATTTTGATAATTTAAAACATAAAAAAATTGTGATGATAACTAAATGTATCTTATGCTTATGGTAGGTCTCGAACAACCTTAATTTGAGTCATAATAATAGCTTGAACAATACTTATTCTTAATCATCAACTATGAATATGATACTTATGGCCCTTATACTTTTTGAATAATGAGTGTTTTGCGTTAAATGAATCACCTGGTAAACCAGTGTTTCCCAACCTTTTTACCACCACGGACCACTTTGACAATATTTTATAGGTCGCGGACCACCTCAACTTTACGCAAACTAGGAAGACCTTTTTTTTTTTTTTTGCTCATTAACAAGAATACACAAAAACTGTATCTGCATTACAACTTGTAATAGCCTATGCACTGTAATAATTTTTAAAATAATGTGTGCATTTTATCAACAGTTAACTATTTTATAATAATATTATAAATTATTTTTTTTAGAGTTGATTTTGAAGAAGTGCTTAACGTACAACAGATTGATAATCCTGAAAATGAAAGCTTTTACAGCGTTAATAGCAGTGATGCCAATGATTTACCAAATCAAATAATTTCTGAACAAATACCATTAACTTTCCATGAGTCACTCAAAGAAAATTCCAAAATGGATATGAGTGATGAATATGAAAAAATGGATATTTCTGAGGAAAATCCATATTCTGGACATGAACAAATTAAAATAGATGACATGTCTGAAAATGAAACGAAAAACGAAGAAATGGTTTTGAGTTCGGCAGATGAGTGTGTTGTCTTGACATCTGAAGAAGAGGATGATAAAGAGATTTCAGTATCAAAATTATCACCGAAAAATACAAGTTTAGCTTTGAATGAAGACATTAAACTTTTGACTTCAAAATCAGTTTCAATAGATAAGAAAGAAATCTTAGATCAGTATTATACGGCCTTGACTCCTTTAGTTGTTGATAATAATTGTCTAATTCCGAATATCCAAGATAATTTAAGTAAAAATGAAGACATTAAACTTTTGACTTCAAAATCAGTTTCAATAGATAAGAAAGAAATCTTAGATCAGTATTATACGGCCTTGACTCCTTTAGTTGTTGATAATAATTGTCTAATTCCGAATATCCAAGATAATTTAAGTAAAAATGAAAAACCATTGTTTAAAGATATTTCTACTGCATGTTTAATACAGAACACAAATTCCAATGAGCGGCTCCCAGTAAAAAAAATAAATGATGATATTGATTGTATTTTATTGGATTCGGATGAGGATGAAAGTGACATTTTATCTGTAGGTTCATCAAGAAAAAATTTATCAGATGATAGTATTGTATCAGGTGGGAGTATTATAACAGAAGGCGATATTGGATCAGATGGCAGTATTATAGTATCAGGTGGCACTAATGAATCAGATGACACTAATGAATCAGATGGCACTCATGAATCAGATGGTAGTATTGTATTAGATGACAGTATTACATCAGATGGTGGCAATATTGCATCAGATGATGGCAGTATTGCATCAGAAGACAGTGAGTTAGATAACACAAGATATGGTAGATTTAAATCTCAAAGAAGACGAGATGGTGAAGATAGTAATGACGAGGAACTTGAAGAAGAATATATTGAAGAAGAAGAAGATGATGATGAAATTGAAGAGGAGGAAATTGAAGAAAAATGCGAAGAAGACGAAATTGCAAAAAAAAGTGAAGAAGTTGAAATTGCAGAAGGTGAAGAAGACGAAATTGCAGAAGAAGGTGAAGATGACGAAATTGCAGAAGAAGGTGAAGAAGACGAAATTGCAGAAGAAGGTGAAGAAGACGAAATTGCAGAAGAAGGCGAAGAAGAAGAAATTACGGAAGAAGGTGAAGAAGACCCAGAAGAAGGTGAAGAAGACGAAATTACAGAAGAAGGTGAAGAAGACGAAATTGCAGAAGAAGGCGAAGAAGAAGAAGAAGAAGAAGAAACTGCAAAAGAAGGTGAAGTAGATGAAATTGTAGAAGAAGGTAAAGAATTTGAAATTTATTGTTTAGACTCAGAAGAATCTGATGGAGAAGTAAGCCCAAAACAATGTGAAAACAAACGGCTAAGAGTAGTTGAAAGTGATTCAGAACATAATAGTGAAGTAAACAATGAAACAGAACATCCTTCCATGGACGATTTAGATCAACAAAATATTAAATTTGATGAAAATGAAGACATCGGATCTGAAAATAAAGATAAAAGATATGACAACGATAATGATGAGAATAAGTCGGAGGATGTTGTGTTTATTGATGAAGATGAAGATGAAGATGAAGATCAGGAAGACTTTGAGTTTGTTGAAAATGAAGAACCAGATGAAGTAAGTGACGAAAATAATTCAGAAGAACCAGATGTTCCGATTTTTACTGAAGAAGAATTAAGGATAAGAGCACAAAATGTCCGTGATTATGGATTACAAGAACCAGTTGGCATAATTGTTGGCCGAAATTTTATAAATTCAGTATTTCCTAATGGCATACGTCCTAGCCAAATTAGAAGACAATTGAACGAAAATGTAGAAAATGTAGAAAATGTAGAAGTACCTATAGTTATAATTGATGATGACTCAAATGAAAATAATAGTTCAGAAGAACCAGATGTCTTGGATCTTGTAAGTGAAGAAAACAGTTCAGAGGAACCAGATGTCTTGGATCTTGTAAGTGAAGAAAACAGTTCAGAGGAACCAGATGTCTTGGATGATGAAAGTGAAGAAAACAGTTCAGAGGGACCAGATGTCTCGCTTAATGTTGGAAGTGAAGAAAACAATTCGGAAGTACTTGCATGTGAACAAAACAATTTTGAAGAGTCAAATGTCATACTCAATGATGAAAGTATTGCAAATAATTTGAAATTGTTTGAAGCTCTCAAAAATGAGAAAACATTAGAAAAGAATGAGTTAGTTGACAGTCATAAAATAGTATATCCCAATGATTCACAATCCAATTCATTAGAAAATCTTACTCCTCGTATGTATAACGTTGCTGAAGAGACCCATTCAAATGATAACAGTCAGATATGTTTTAAAGAAAATGAAAATTCTCGTAGTATTAAAATTGAAGATGACAAAACGAATGATTCACGTGTGATAGAAGACAATGAAAATGTTATTGAAGTAGTTGAAAATACAGATAAAGTAAATGAGCCTATTAATCTTGATGACATTGAAAACAATAAAGATAATTTATCTATTGACCAGAATGAAGATAACCATTGTGATGAGTATACATCTAATAATGATCATTCTTTTGAAATGTTTAGAAACGAATCTAATCCTATACCTGATGATGGTTTTAATCATCTTACAATGCCTGGAGTTGAAGCAAATCAGCTAGAAGTAGATGTTAATCAATCTACTCCATTTATGTTTGGGGAATCATTTTTTGGTCGACAAGAAATTCCTGAGAAGAAGCCCATGCTTCTGTTTGGCCACTTATATTCTTTGGAAAATGAACAGTTGAATGTAGATGTACAAGCCGATAAACTTGAAACCCAAGAGTCAGATATAGTTAACAATGGAGTTGATATTACTAATAAAGAACCAGAAGTTGAAATAGAGGGCGAAATTCAAGATATATTAGAGCTAGAATCATTACCTGAAAGTAATCCAGATGATAATTTTGATACACAGAACGATACAGATTCTAATAATTTACAACCAGAGTGTAAAAAATTTAATGAAACATTGTATGACAATGGACAAACTGTCTTGTTAGGTGATTCCCCTCATCTAAAACCTATATATTTTGGAAACATTGATTCCGTGCAAATATTTGAAAATGACGATCAAACTCCGAGTACAAGTATAGATTTATCCAAAAAGTCTGTTGAACTGGAAAATAAAGATTTGACAAGTAATGAATGTTGTGACATACTTACAATCAAAAAAGCAAACCCATCCTTACCAAATGTATCAGAAGAACAAATATATAAAACAGATACGGTTCCAACTAATACAGTTGAAAACTATACTACAAATTCTGTAAATACAATGGAATCTGATAAATCAACTTGTGTCGTTGAAGATGATGAAAAAGTCTGTCCAATATCCCAAAGAAGCATTACAACAACAACTGAACCAAGGCAATTAATGAATATCGTCAACATACAGAATGCTCATTCTAAATGTGCTACATCTGTTGTGTCTTGTTCATCAAACATTGATCAATTTGATGATATTGGTAGTAATGATCAGTTATTAAAAAAACCAAATATTAATGAAAACATTAATACTAGTTTAAATAATGAAGAAATAGGATCTCATCAACCAGTCAAGTCTGTACAAAAATGTATTGAATTAGAAACAACAATTAAAACTGTTGGTCCACATTGCCCAGATGCTTCTGGTAATATTCAAAATGAAAATAAAATAAATTTAGTTGAAAATCTTGCAGAATTAGATAAATGTTGTCAGAAAAGCAGTTTGAATATCCCACGAATTGAAAACTATAGTTTGCGTTCATCTTCAAGAAGAAGTATTTCAAAACCAAAAGAATGTTTATTGGATATTCCTTCCACAACAGTACAAATATTAACTCGTAATAAAACTAAGATGTTATCTGATCCAATTCAAGAAAATAAAACAAATGTTATTGATCAAATAAAGAAAGCCAAATCGATTCCACCGGTAGACACTACACCAATAACAACAAGATCAAGGGCTAAAAGTGAACCCAAACAAGTACAGCTAGAACCTATTTCTTCAAATATTTTCCGTAGTTCTGGAATGGTCGAAGAAAACAGTAGACAAGTAAGGGTGTCATTATCAAAAAAGAGAACAAAAAGTCAAGAAAACATTTCATCGATGAAACGTAGAAGTGGACGATCAAAATCTTTAGCACCTGAAAAATCAGAAGCTAATAAGAGGAAAACTGTGTTTGGCTTAGAGGAAATACCTGAAGAAGATACTCCAAATACAGATACAAATATCATAAAAACTGAACATACTGCATTAAAAAAAAAACCAAAATTCAATTTCTTATCTAATTCATCAAAAAAAATAGAATATGTTAATTTGAACCCAAAATGTCAAGAAGATACAAAAATAAGAACTCCACGAAGATCTAAATCACTCCAGCCTGACCCTGTTTTAACATTTTCTGTTGTGAAGACAAAACCAAAACGAAGTTCAAGTGTAAATATGTTAATTTCAAATGACGAAATTCCTACTGAAAAAGACGATTTAATGGGAGTTTTAAAAAAAGCATTAAATCCGCCAGAAAAAATAAGAAAACGCTCTGTGACAGAGTCACTCAGAAGTAGAAAAAAACAAAAAATACAAAATCAAGTTGAGGAAGAAAAAAAAGAAGTTGCTGAATCTAAGTATAATTTAAATGAATCTAATCAAAGTAATCAGTTTTCAAATTCCTCTTATTCTTCTGAACAATTATCGCCAATTGTTGGGAACATTTCTCAGCATATGTTGTATACTCCAGCAAAAAAACAAACTAAAATACGTATGATGAATTTGGATACTGAAAATGAAGATTCTTCTTCAGACGAATCAACAGATTCAAATCGAATTATGACCAGATCAATGATTCAAAATTCTAGCATTGTAGAATTAGATCCTATTCGCCGTACGCTGAAGAGTGAAATCAGACCATCAAAAGTACCCATCAACAGGCAAAGAAGAAGATCATCTTCTGTTAGTAACATACCCGAAAGTAAAACTCCAAAGAAATCAGCTTCGTCTGTCTTTGAAAAGGATGAATTATTATTTTCTAAGCGCAAAGCCAAACATATAAAGGTAAGTGTTATTTAACAATTGTAGCTATTAACCTTAGTTATCTTATTAAATAAAAAATGATCAGTTGTTATAGTTGCGCAAATTTATATCAAAATTCCTAAAAAGAAAAAAATATATATTAATAAAAATAACATTCATCAATTCTTGATAATACAATATAAAAAAATAACAATATATAAAATAATATAAAAACATGTAAAATAAATAGTTGTCTTATTAACTCATAGTATAAATGGTAAAGTAAATATGAAATACCTTTTGGTATTCGATTAGTATGTGAACTACTGAGCGAAAATCAAGTTTAGTATGTGACCTACCAAGACGATTATCTATATTATATATTATCAAAGTTTCTTAAACTGTATACTACTACACTGTTTACTGTGTACTACTAAACTTCAGTGCTTTTTCAAAATGTTCAAGAAAATTATTTAAAAATTAAACTAAAGATGAGTAGCGGCTAGTTGTGAAAAAATGTATTATGGAAAAAAAAAGTTTGTATATTGAATAATAATGTATTTCATACCTAGTCTATACTTATATAGTGTACTTATAGTGCTTATACAGTAGGTACTGAGGTCAGATGGTTATCTTGAGGAAAGATACTAAATAATATTTTTGAACAAGGGACGAGGTGCGTGCCTCTTTTAATTTAAGCGACATTCTTACAAAGATCAATGAGCTTAATTCACCTTTCATGGTAGACAAGTAAATGTACTTACTGCTCACTAAAAAATTCATGTTACATGAAAAAGTTAGATTTTTGGAAAATTGTTATGCGTTCCAACGAGTTTGATTGCTTTCTAACAATTAAATACTTTTTGGAAGAGGAAGGGGTCGAAATAAATGAGGTTTTCATTGAGGAAATTATTCAGCTCCTCACTGGATTGAGTGAAGGATTCAACCAGTATTTTCCAAATTACAAACAGGTGAAATATAAAAATGAATTGTGGATTAAAAATCTATTTATTGTCAATACACGGCCTTCAGTCATGTCAGCAAAAGAATATTATGTAACTTTTATTGAATTTACATCTGATTCATCGTTGCAAGAAAAATTTAAATAAACTAATGCCATTAGAAGAATTTTGGTAGAGTTCAAAAAATGAATATCCTCAATATCACAAAAGGCCTTGGTGGCACTTTTACCATTCGCACCCACTGATATGTGTGAAATGGGGTTCTCCACCTATATATTAACAAAAACAAAATACTGCAACAGATTTAATGCCGAACCTAATATGATAATAAAACTTTCATCAATAAAGCCTAATATTAAGAATATTTGTAATAATAAAAAGCCACGCCCATGCGCACTATTTGGCCGCCCGTACTGATCTCATTTAGAACAGACTATACACACATTATTATTATATTTATTATTTTTATTTTTATTTTAACATATTTATAAATTTATACAGTATACACATTACAATTTATTATTATATTAAATTATTGAAACAGAGTAGGTAGGGGTTCTAATAAATTATGGTTGAAAGCTAAAAAAAGAAGTAGGGTTTCCACTGTAAAAATGGACATAAAAAGAATTCCACGGATAAAAAAGTTTAAGAATCGCTTATCTATATTATTTACGGGCAATTTATACTAACAGTGTATTCTAAACATTTATTAAAATAAAATAAAACAATTGTTTGACATATTGCTGTAATAGGTGTGTGTATTCATTTATTGATACATTTTTTTTTCTGGTATTTTGTTTAACTGATATTGACGTTAATGAATGTAATCCTGTATTATTTTATATTTGTATTACTAATTAAATTATAATAATAAAATAACATAATTTTATGTTTCTTGGTTTTGAGACAGTAAGGGATACTCATTTTACTATTTACTATGTTCGCTATTTTTTTTGTAAGTAATTGTTAAGAACCGATATCTCTAAGTAACAAATAACTATCCATCATCCCGACATTCAGATATTGTCAGTTATTTTATAATTATTATGATTTGGGTTATAAAGTTTTCTTGTTTACAGTCTATTAGAACTATCTTTAGTAAATTAATTTCATGATAATTAACAACCACACATTATTTATTAGTTGATAACCAATTTAGCTTATCAAATCTAATGTTTATATATTTTTTTTAAGGAAACAATCGTTCGTGCACCAATAGAACCATCAATTGAACAACCTTCTACTTCAGAAAGACGTATAACACGTTTTCAACAATCAATATTAGATAAATCATTACAATCCACATCTGTTATTGGGTAAGTAGTTATATTATACCATCCAAATAAAGCTGTATAAATAACTAATAAAATAAAATAAAAGTAAAAATATTATTAGTTACCTATAAGGCTATAAATGTTAAATAATATTAATGTTTTACTGTGCCTTTGTGTTTCAACTCGTTGCCAAACTGTAATACTTGATGACTAATATAATAATGTCCATCTTTATTTGTTTATAATTAAAATCATTTTTAGCCCGTAGTAATCACATTCCACATAAACAACTATAAGATAGTATACAATTTCATATTATTAACCAATATTTTAATCAAGGGCCCATTCCTTTTTTTTTTAACAGTGTAACCATTTTAGTATAGATTTAATAAATGTTTCTCTCAAAGAATTAACATAAAATGTGGGTTTTATAATGATAATCAAGGAATAAACCAAGGCAATTAGTACAAATATAATCTTCTAAATGAAGTAGGTACATCATTCTTTGATGATTCTATCAATTAGAAATTATGTTTTTAATATAATAATTAATTTTTGGTATCAAGTTTAAAAACATTTAAATCAGTAATGAGTGCTCTTTATATTTTTTATATCTCACTTTTTCAAGTTTGGAACTTGGAACTATATGTTGGATATAAATATATAAAAATATATGCATACGTATAACTTAATTATACTATTAATATTGTAAATTACTTGAAATATATTTGTTTTATTAAATTTTTCAGACAAGATACGACAACTAATAACATCACTGTACCAAAGCCAGAAAAGAAAAAAATTACTAAAAAAAACTGATTTAATAAAAATTTTATAATTAATACAAATATATAAGGTAATATCTGTGTTAGTAGGAATATATCTTAATTTATTATTAATTATAAAAAAAAATAGTAAAGCAGACCCTTAAACTTAGATTCTGTCATATGTTCTTATTATTCATATACATATAAAAAATTAAAAATAGATTTTAAGATTTTCCCTGAAATGTGGTCTTGCTGCTGTAAGATTAAAAATTAAACCAATTTTTGTATAATTTAAAAATTGACTTTGAATTTTATTATTATATTTATAATTATGTATGTTATTTATAAAATAAATACAACTTTTTAGTATCATAGCCTAAATTAATCATTTTTGTTTCGTAAATTTTAGTTATACTTTGATTTTGTTAATTGTTCAAATCTCCATTCTTACTAGCTTTTTTTAGAACAAAATAGAATCAATTTATTAAATATTATATATTGTTTATATTAAATTACAATATTAACAATACTTGCATAATAGTAATTGAATAACTTGTGTAATTAAAATTATATTATTTAATTTGTTTAAATAGTTAATTTAATTATTAGGTTAGATTTATGTTTAAAATGATTTATAACATGAATTAGATTATCCTTAAATAAAATCTAAAACTTTGAAATAAAGTTACAATTGTGGGTTATATGATTTTTAAATTCAATATTCAAAATGTACTGAATGTGTTTTATTTTATTAATTATTATAATTATTGTATTATCTTATAACATATATTTGACCAACTAATTATTATATAAATGAGTAGATAAAGCAAAATTGTATACAACATTAATAATTAATAAAACATAAAACACTTTGAGTTTAAACTTCATAATATGTCCATGATGTAATCCAGTGTTTCCCAACCTTTTTTGTACGGCAATACATTTAAAACAAATTATGGATTTTTGAAAAAGTGACAAATATGTGACACGCCTGTTGAGAACCACGGATGTAATCAATAAACATTGATGTTCACGTCTTTTAATTGACTAATTATTTAATTAGATATTTTATGTCTAAAATTATTGTATTTTTAATTAATGCATTAAGGGTTTCAGTATCATATTTTACTATTTAAAAAAAAAAAGAAGAAAAAGAAGCGACCTAATTATCAACATTTTTTAAAGTGTAATGACTAAAATAAATGTAATTGTTTGCAGTTTTATTTACTTTTAAAAGCGTTTAATGATATTTTCACAATAATTAAAACATCAATCTAAAAAAGGTGTACTAGTAGGTACCGCTCGGCTGTTCCCTAGTTACCGAGCATGTCATTGGTAATGCATGTGTTATATTTGAATTCCATGATTCTCATTGGAGATGAAAATATCTCATGGCTATAAAATATGAATAGAGTAATTATTCTGTGAAATTAACCTTGTTAAGAATCATATACTAAAATGTTTAATGTTAGCTATGGAAAAAAAATTTCTTTCTAACTGAAAAGTAATTTACAAATTTTTGGGATTTTGATGAATTTTGTCAAAATTTGAACTTAAATGCATATAAAAAATAATCGTGCCTACATTTCTTCAATATTTTTGAATTGCTATCAAAGCATCTTATAAGGACCATTGTGTTTAATTTACAGGCTATTTTACTTGGTGAAAAAGTTTTTAGCCACAATTATTTTAAAAATCTCTCTAGGCTATAAATACCTCAAAAAAATTCAAAAAAGTTAGTTGTCACCATCTATGGAAAATCCTAATATAAATATTTGCTGGACATTTTAAGTGTAAGGTTACCAGTTTTTGTGTTACTCCAAAAAATTGAGTAAAAATTCACATTATTCCTTCATTTTTTTTTCTTTTTTGAGCTCCCGAATGCGTCAACTAAATAGCTTTAATAGCAGTTGGTAAATATTAAAGATACTCTGATAGGTACAATTTTTTTTTTATAAATATTTTAAGTTCAAGTTTTAACAACATTTATCAAAATCTCAAATATTTTCAAATTATATTGTAATTAAAAGATATAATTATAATTTATACTGCTATATCAAATGTTATATTTGTATAGCTAAGGATAGAAAATTTAAACAAGGATTCTCATAAATAGTTCATACTGTATCAAACAATCCTAAAAAAATATAAAAACAGTTATCTTTTACACGCAATGACATTTTCAAATATAATTTTTTTGAAAAAACAAAAATTTAACCTACTGTTAAATGTAAAAAAAAAATTACTCTTTTCACAATAATATCATCAAATATACTTAGTAATAAGTAATATTATAGGTTGACAGACCGTTTTCACTCAGAATCGTTTTTCTTGTACAATGATTTTATATCATTGAGTTCAAATTTGACACAACCATTACAATGACTAGAACTATTTTTTTGTTAATATTATTATTATTATTATCAAAGTTAGTAAAATCTGTAATTTTAGTTATTTTTGCAATTATTTAATTGACTTCATTTATACCTATAGTACTTTTCTAAATGAGTAAATTGAAAATTAAAGGAATAAAAGGTGGGTAAGTGGATGTCGCTCTGCTGTACAGTAGGTTACAAGTGGGTCACTGTATAATGGATGCTATTAAATTTGAATTCAATGATACAATATCATTGTATAAGAAAAACGATTCTGAGCGAAGACGGTATGTCAGTCTAGGTTTAAGACAAATTATATACACATCTATGGTATTAAAAAAAAATTGACCTATAATAAATTCCAAATTAATCATATCACATTATCACAATATCCATTAGGTACTTATAAAACGTTATACATCAACGTCAATAACAAACCCTGATACTATCATAGATATATAATAGTACACTTTAGAAGTTTCAAGTAGGTACCCACGAATAATATTATATAATCACAACAAAATAACTAGGTTTTTTAATATGTCATTTCGTCCAAATGTGAACATAAAATGACTATAAAAATAAACTGTGATTGTATATTTTTTAGATTATTTGGTAAGAGAATTAACTACTTACGTGGAATCTTTTTTTAAATTTTCAATCCTTAGCTATAAAAACTGAACATTTTATAATTTATTAATTACGATGATTAATAATTTTCAAGATTTTGAAAAATTCTGTCAAAATTCGATGTTTAAATGCTTATAAAAAATAAATTGTGTTATGTATTTACAATATTTTTCAACTGATATTATAACAATATATCAGGAGCCTTGTATTAAATTTTTACACTTTTTGCCCCTACAGGTAAAACTTTATTGATATTCATAGAAAAAAAACTAAAAAAATTGAAAAATGAAAATATCCGTAAACAGCTCAAAAAGAGTTAAAATATTTTCAAAATTGTATGGTGTATAGGAAATACTATATAAACATTCAGTGAAATTTTCATGTATCTATAGTTATTCGTTTATGAATAACAACAAAATAAGGAAATCGCTACATGAGAAATCGAGTAAACATCCAATGTTGTAAAAATTTTAATTTCAAATGCTCATAAAAATTTAACTTGACTGTCCGGTAGAGATTTTTTTATTGATAAAGGTAGACAAACTTATGAGTAATCTTGTATTACATTTTCAAAACTTAGATTTAAAAAGAAAAATTTTTACGAATTCTTAACTTAAAATAATTTGCTAATTTTCGTGATTTTTACATATTTTGTCAATTTTAGATTCTGAGTGAAACGATGAATGTATTGATTTTACAATGATGTGTGTTTTTTTTTTATTTTTTTATTTTTTTTTGTGTCTGTCATCACGTTTTAGGACAGTGAAAATTTCCCAGTAGTTTTCACAAGCGCCGGGAAATACAACATAAAAGTTAAGGAAAAACGGGAATTTTTACGCAAAATCGGTTTTCCAAAAAATCGATTTTGGTTTTTGGTGTAACTCTAAAAGAAATGAACGTATATACATGAAATTTTCACTGGTTGTTGATATTTACATTTTACATACACGATAACATTTTCAAAATATTTTGATTTATTTTGAACTGTTTAGGGACATTTTAATTTTCCATTTTTTTTAGTTTTTTTCTCTAAAAATATCAATAAAATTTTATTTGTTGGTTAAAAAAGCTTGAAAATGTAAAAGAAGGCTCCTAGTATATTATATCAAAGACAGATGAAAAATATTAAAAATCCTTAGTCACTGTTTCTTTTAATAAGCATTTAAAGTTCAAAAATTGACAAATTTACAAAATATATTGTTTTAAACAATTAAATGTCGAGATAGATTTAGATGACTTTGTACTGATATTATTACTCTTTCAGTTATTCTAACAATGTATAATACTTTAACCGTGATTATAAATAATTACAGAACAATCACCAACAGTGGCGTCCGCAGGGGTGGGGCTAACGGCCAACGGGCTGAAGCCCCCCCCCCCATTGCCCGTATTATTATTACTTTTTAAAAAAAATATTAATCAAATTTAAATTGTCAACTATAGTAACAAGACGTAAATTTCATATATGACTTACCAGAATGAATTCATTTTTGAAAAAACATTGTAGGTATTTGCATACCAATTTTCATAAATTATCTGTAATTTTTCGGTAAAAGAATGAACTACTTGTACGAAAGACCTTGTATTAAATTGTCTAGCCTTAGCTGTACATATTTTATATTTTATAAGTTTTGAACTACAAATTAACTGTGATTAAATTGTTTTGAACTTTAAATGCATATGTATCGTTAATATTTTAGCTATAATAAAAAAACTTACGTATTACTTTTTTAAGCTTTTCGACCGGATAAATAATTTTTTATTGACATTTATAAAAAAAAAAATTTTAATCAATCAAATACAATCCAAGTGAGGATGGTATAACCAAGCAGGGACGTATATAGGATTTTCTTGAGGAGGGGGATATCAAAATTTGTTTAGTGCTATTGCAACTTTTTGTTAGTTAGGAACTCCATGTAAGGTATATAATAATAATAAATGTTGTGTAATGTCACTCACATGCCCACAGGATAACAAAATTATAAATAACAACAGTACTGCAGCAGTTTGTACTTTATACCTACATGGAAAAAAATGGGTAAGGGAG